CCCCTTGAGATCAAGTCTGGCCTGGCAGAGTGAGGTGCTGATGGGCATGGAACACTGCAGGGACATCCGCGCAGGCAGCGTGGGAGGCACAAGATGCTGTAGAAACGGCTCAAGATGGGGCAGCAGTCCAGGTTTCCTTTAGACATGATACGACCACATGCTCTATTCCTTGGGTTTATCCCTGTTGCTGCTGGCAGGCCCTCAGTGGAGCCATCCTGGATTGCTGGCACTGGGGAAAGGTGATGCTGAGCCCTGCTAGGTGACCGGGTGCTCAGGAAGGAAGGGGACCGGGGCTCCTGTGACAGGGGGAGGAGGAGACCCAGCCATGGGGAGCACGGAGAGGCTGTCCTCACCCTCATGACAACCTAAGAAAGGGTGTCTATGGGAGCACTGCTTTCCCCTATGGAGTTTTATGCTCCTCCAGGGCCATCCATCCCACCGACAGCAGCTGGTGCCTGGGACAGAGCCCTCCCCATGGGCTGCGACCACACAGCATCCCCCTGAGCATCTGGCACTGATCCTGCTTTGCTCCCGGGGCTTCTTCCAGCAGGGAAGCTCCTCTGTTCTGATTCAACCATGCATAGCAAATCAACTGCTGGAAAATAAAGAGCCAAGCTGCTTTTTTGGCCTGGGATGTGATAAGAGCGGTTGTTAAACCTTTCTTGGAGTCCAAGCAGCAAAAGGAGCCACTGCTGCATAGAGCCTTGCAGCAGGACACACAGTTCCTGGGAGCAGGAGGGGGAGGCGAGCCCCGGCTGGCAAACCTTGGATGCAAACTGTCTGTTCCAGAACTGTGTTTCACTCGTGTGTTTCAACGGCCTCAAGAAAAGCACGCGCTCCTCTGCAGCTGGTGCCTCTGCTGATGCACAGGGAAAAAATAGCGGGGAGAAGATTAAAATTGAACTGGCTTGGAGTCAGTGTAATCAGGGAAAATATCGCAGTGATTTGCTATTATAATGTTCAATAACAAACTGCAGGGCTCCTGCTGCACTAATAATAACGGGCAGAATGAGGTGGGGAAAGGACCTGCTGCCACGGGGTGTTTTGTGTGTGTGTTTGTGGGAAGCACTTGCAATTTTCCCCATCTCCTAATTTTGAAGGGGTATTTTTAGTGCCTATTGCAAAGAGCTTTACATAAACACATCTGCTGGAGTTTTTGCTTGGCAGTGTCTTTACAACCTTCCTTTCTGCCCCTTCCCTCTCCAGGGACAAAGCAATGGTTCGACCGTTTTCTGTTACAATCAGATGAGCAAAACAGAAAATAAAAGGGTTGTTTTGACAGCACCAAAAGGCTTCTTAGCCCAAAGTGGTGGCCTTTAGAAGTGCTGTGAGCAGCTCAGGCCACCCTAAAAGCCCAGAGCAGAAGCACATCGGAAGTGGCTGTGGCAGAGAGCCACAGGGATGCAGGAGAACAGGGAGCCCAAGCCAGCCCCTGCCCCTGCTGCACAGCCAAACCCTCCAGGTGAGGAAAGAAGAGAGGAAAGATGAGACATTGAATCATGTGTCCATGCGTGTTTTGTGTGGTAATCAAGAGCATCCCTGGTGGGAGCAGCTGTGGGTGCCACGGAAGCCTGTGTCCTTTTTGGACATCTGGCTGATGTCCCCAGACCCCAGGCGAGGAATCCATCACTGGTTTAATGCTAGTGGAACATTCACAACTAATAGGCTCATCAGAGATGTTTTAACCTTTTTCCTTTTCAGGGCTTGGGTTGGCTGGAGCCATTCCTACATTTTCACAGGGGGCTGTAGAGATGATGGGAACGTGGAGCCTCAGAGGGCTGAAAAGAGCAAGTTTCCATATTGGCTTTCCCAGATACTCTATCCTGAGTTTGGAAATGCTGTTGGTGCAGGTCTGCCAAGTGCAGTCAGTGCCTGGGGCCTCCGAAGTGCTTGTGTGTGCGGCTGGGTGCATGCAGCACCCAACCCAGCTGTGTGTGCAAAGTAAAAGAAACGGTTTAAAATACCCCAAATGGCTTGGTTAGCATGATCCAGCCCCAGAGTGCTTACAGTGCTGCTTGCAAAGCAGCAGGAAAGGGCAGAGGGGCCGCAGCAAGGCCACAGAGGGCTGGGACTGCTGGAGCCTATCCTATAGAGGCAAGGGACGATGCTGCTGCTGGTGGGAGATGGGCTGGTGGCAGCGTCCAGCACTAGGTCACTAGGAAGGAAATTTGCTTCCTTTTCTCTCCTCTTGGGATGGGTTTCTGCAGGGAAAAGGATGATTGATGGAAGGTTTATGGCAGGGGGCTGCTTGGGGCTGGGACGGAGGAGCTCAGCTGGGACACAGGAGCCTGGCTCCAGCAGCACTGAGGTGCCAGCAGGCAGGGTTGTCAAGTGCACACCAAACCCGCAGTGACTGCCTGTCACCGTGGGGCTGCAGGGGACGGGTGTCGCTGGGCTCAGCTCCCGGTGAAGCGCGTATCACCAAGTGCCACATTTCATGTCCTGATGTGATGGCACTTGGCCATGGCATCGAGCGTGGCAGCCCCGGATGGAGGACTGGGGATGGTTTATGACTGTGCTCCCTGAGGCAGCAGATACCCTGTGCCTTTGCCCTGTCCTCTGGGAAGGCTGCTAGAATCACTCCATGCTGAGCCTGGCACATCTCCCAGCTCTTGCAAACACTCTGAGGGACTTCCCTGGTCTTGCATGTTCCTTGCCCACTGCAGAGAAGTGGCCTTTATCCTGCCATCCATGTGCACTGCCACCTCGTGCTCCCATACATCCACTGGTGCAAAAGCCTGTCAGTGACTTTCTGCCTTTCCCCAGCCAACAGGGATGTCCAGTCCCAAAGGGAGCTGTTGCTGAGTGTGGGGGGCACAGCATGGTTAACTGGCCTCAGTGGTGCCACTACAAACTGGGGGTGACATGGTGGCCCCCCAGGGGAGGGAGGCAGGGGTGGCATCGGGCAATGGGACTCTGCACTCTTACACCACTCATGAAAGACAACGTTTTTCTATACATATATATATTCAATCAATGTCTATAGAGCTTAATGCAAGGGGATTGCCAGGCGGTTTAGAATGTTCGTGACTCCCAGCGAGAACTGAATCCAGCCTTTGATAGAATTGGGAGAATAATTATTTCCATCAATACCTACTTGCAAGCCCAGGAGAAATGGTTCACCTAGCACATTGCAGGACCCGAGTCCCTGGCTGTCTCAAGGCCAGTGTATTTTAACCTCAGGACCTGAAAATCCCATTAGTTGGTGCTGAGGCTGGGGTGAGAAGAACATTGTCTGCTGTGCCTGGGTCCCTCCTGCAAGGCAGCAGTGCCCACTGTGCCACTAGCCCAGGGGGACCCTTCCCACTGCTGCTGGAGCTGATTCAACCCAAACTTTGCACAGGTCATTAATTTGGGGACATTTTTAATGGATCCTAATGATCGAGCCTCAGAAGACTATACTTAAAAGGGGTTCGGAAAGGCCACAAGCTAATTAGCTAACACAAAGACAGCAATTAACCATGTAGCTTCCTGGATGCTTAAAAATAACACAGATGTTGGGAGTCTATTAAGCAGAGTAATAGATTTTTAAAACCAGAGGGACCATCAACTCCTGCATGTCCTGGGCCAGAAATATTTCACCCAGCTTGCCCTCACTTGTACCCCTGTCACTTGTATTTGGCTGATGCACATCCTTAAACACTCAGGCACTGCAAAACAGGCTGCAAGGAGTCACCTATTAGAGAAAGTGGGGGTTTGCTGAGAGAGAAAACACAGGTGGCAAGAGAGGGGGGACCCTTCTGCAGTTGCTCCGTGTTGCTCAGGGCTGGGCAGGCAGCAGGATGTTCCTTAGGGCATGCAAGACTGGGCCATGCTTAACCTGAGCATCACTGTTGCTCTCTAACCACTGGTTTGGCCCCATTTAACCCCATGATGTGTAGCATGCACCTGGCTCTAACCCCTTGTTGCTATCTCCACAGCCCATGTGTGATGGTCTCTGCAGCCAGAGCATCCTCCTGGCATCCCTGAGCCACTGTGGACGTGCCAATACTTGCTTTATCTATTCAAATAATACTTTGGCTGACACCAGAACCATGGCATCCCTGGCACCCTTGTTGGGTATTGTCTATGGCTTTTCCTTATCTTTCTGTTCTTTGAGGCAAACATCAGCAGGGACTGGAAACCCATTTATTTCCTCCCAAGTGTCTGAGCTCAGGCTCGTTTGGGTTTGTTTCCTCCATTTGGCTTCTTTTCTCCGTTTCAGCTTGCTTCACTCAAGGCCCAGTGTTTCTTGGAGACCTTTCACCTCAGGCTTTGCCTGTCCTGGCTCTGCTCCTTGTCAACTCCCATGGCCTTCCCAGGGCTCTTGCAGGCACCTGCCTAGACCAGTGGTTCCCCTCAACTCTGCTGGGCTGCCCCAGGTTCTCCAGTTCAGGCTATCAGCAGGACCAGCTGTGTTTACTGGCCCAGCACTCTATATAAAGGAGCGAGAAGAAAGCCTTTTCTTTGGCTGCCCAAAGTTTCTTCCCCCTGAGTGCTGGTAACAGGGACAGGATGAGGACAGTGTGGCAAGGTATTTCCAATGCAATGGCAGGTGTGGAGAATGGCATTTGAAGTGCAAAAGTGGGGTTTTTTTCCTACCAGAGGAAAAACCAGTGCTGCCTCTGCAGAGCTGCTGAGCTAAAACCCACAGTGCAGAGGAAGATGTCAGGGGTGCTGCTCTGATTTGGTACTGTTGCTCCTTGCTGGTGTGTTACATAGACCTCATGCTGTCCCTGCAGTACAGGATGGTCATGGCATCTTTTCTTGAGAGCTGAGCACAGCATGCCCATGATGGGATGCAGCCTGGCTTGGAAGTGGGGGCTTTCTGGAGCTTCATAGGAGTGTTTCCCACTGCAGGGAACATGCTGAGCACCATGGGTTCAGGAGGTGTGAGAGCAATCTGCAGCTCTCCTTCACAGCAGCAAGGGGATTCTCTAGTACATGGGAAACCTTCAGCCAGCAAGCCCAGCTGAATGGACAGTCCTTTATTGCTCTCTTTGTGTGCTCTGGCTCCGCAGTGGGACGCTCAGCTGCCTGTCGTACCCCGCAGAGGACAGACGTCCTGAGAAGCAGAGCGGCCGTGCAGTCAAGGATGCCTCCAGCACGAATGGCTGTGGGAAGGGGAAGCAGAGGCGAGACCATGCACACCACAGGTCACGCAGGTATGATCCAGGGGGTGGCAGAGGAGGCATCTGGGACTGTTTCCCCAGCCCCTATGGGGGCCTGTGAGAGCTTGGGATGGCTTCAATGGCTGTGTGTGTGTCTAGCAGAGGTATGCAATTGTGTGAAACCCCTGTGTGTGTCTGCAAGGAGAAACCTGTAGCTTATGTACACTCCACGCCGAGCTCTTACAGCCTCCTTGCTGTGACCTGCCAGCATCTCTGTGTGCTACCAGGTTAACAGGGTACCGCTGGCTGGGCATCACCCTCAGCAATTACCCTCTCTGCATGCCCACATCAGACCAGCAGCACTGGCTTCATTAGGACACAGCTTCATTATCAGTTTGTCATTAGCCCCTGACAACTTGGGAAGGGAAAAATGAATTGAATGTTGTAAATGAAGCAGCTGGGGTCCCTGAGCCCTGCCTGCTAAACTCTCCGGGATTAAAACCTCTCCATTTGGTTTAAGATGCTGGAAAGAAAGAGCAAGAAAGCACATTTCATATCTTCAGATTTCAGGCTAACTGGAACAATAATCAAAAGCGTATTTTTAATTAGACTTTGATTACAATCGCGGAGAAACAATTAAAGTAGTATCAGTGCAAGGAGAAAGCTTCCACATCAAAGACAAAAGGCTTCATCTCAGGAGAGGGAGAAGAGCTCTACAGAAACTGCCTGCAGCTCCATGGTCAGAAGGTCCTCTCAGCCCTCCCATGGCTGTGGCCCTGGGCTAGACAGGAGCTGAGATGTATTGAGACTTGTGTGTGGAGTCCATATCCGTCCTAGGGGAAAGCATGTGGGAGCTGGGGTTGAGCGGCTGAGATGAGTGTTCAGGTCCCTGGTCTAGCACACACACCATTAAGATGTCTTTGGGGAGATGGCTGAGCTTAGCAATGAGCTGCCTTGGAAAACACATTTCTTCTACCTTAATGCAGACAAAAGACCCACTGAGCCCAAGGTGTGCTGTGTCCCCTAACAGTGCTTCTGCTGGTCCATGAAACCCTTGAGAGGAGAAAGAGAGCAAGAAGGAGCATTTGGGTGCTCCTTGGGGTCACGGTGTGGTTCCACCTTGGATTTACTGCCCCAGCAGCGCTCGGCACGCAGCCATTCACCATTCCCAATGGAAGCATGGGTGCGCAGCATCATTCTGCAGAGCAGGTTTTCAGAGAGCGTGTTAAAAGAGCTCAGCAATTGGCTTGTCATGACAGGGTAATTTGGGGAGTCATTCAAGCCCAGATAAGCAAGCATTTGGGAGGCAGTGGCACCTGAGAGCATCCCCCCCTCTCCACAGTGCCATTTGCTCTGCATTAGGGCTTGTATTAACGATAACATTTGCTCTTCCCATACAGAACTGCTCCACTTTGGGCTCGTTCCTGTAGCACTTCCCAAACACGGGGCTGCTTCCACACATTTCCTGCTAGTGCCTGCTCCCATTGGCAGGGTGAGAAGTGGGGAAACTGAGGCACAAGCCCAGAACCCTCATTTCCAACAGTGGCTTTGCAGAGGCCCTGTGGAGCTGGTTGTGCCCCCCTACAACCCTCAATCCAGACCCATATGGGGAGCCACCAGCTGCCCTTGTCTTTAGGAGCATTTACCATGGTGAATGAGTAGCCAAAGCGTATCTGTTGCGTTTTCAGGCTCTGAATTAATTTAACCACGGTATTTGCTTTGCATTGAAATGTAACATCACATATGTTTAAAAAGAGAAATTGATTTACGGGAGGCTCCTTCTCCCAAGGTTTAACAACTGTGTAAGAGATGCATATCTCATTAAATTACCATAGCATCTCAATAAACGCATCTATATTTCTAATCAATTGCTATTTAACATATGTCAAGTCTTTTATTAGCGCCAAGCGCATCTGGTTGCGATAATTATTGTATGCAAATGAAAGGGCGATTAATTATTTAAAGCATATTTACAAAGAGCGATGGAACCCCATAAATCTGTTCCGGCGTTGTTAACCTCGGCAAACACGCTTTAAATCATCCCCACCGTGGCTGCATGGGAGCTGTCTCATTAGAGCTCCATTAGACCCACGGAGGAGACACCTTGTTTAACTGGGACCAAAGCATTCGTTAGGGGGTAATTAAGCACTTACCCGCACCCCGGGTCCATGGGGATCTCTCTGCCCCACGTGTCCCTGAGGTGGGGCCGGGATGGAGCAGCCCCATGGGAGCTGATTTGGGGTGGATCGGGGTTAATTTCTACTCACTTGATCCCCACCGTGTCCTCAGCCCATACTGCGAGGGGGAGCGGCCGCCACAGCCAGCCCGGGCCAAGAAGAAGAAGAAGAAATCCGGGCGCAAGAAGCGAAGGAGGTGAGGGCGGCCATGGCAGCCGGAGGGGACAGGCAGCCCTGGCTCTGTCTGAGGGCACAAAGTCAGCCTAAAACATCCCTGCCCGCAGCAGGGCGGTTGGAAGTGGATGAGCTTTGAGGTCCCCTCAACCCAAACCGGTCTGTGACTGACATGGAGGCTGAGGTGCCTCACAGGCCCAGGCAGCGGCCGCCATGTTCTCGCCTTCCCCTCAGGACAGCAGAGGCTGGGCCAGGGCTCACCTGCAGCCTCTCCGGGGAGATCCCGGGATTCCCAAGCTCCTCTCCATCCCAAGGGAATGCCACTGGTGGTGGGGTAAGGGTTGGGGTGGGCAGGGAGCCCTGCAGTCCCTAATGCCCCTTTGCCTCCTCAGGTCTCCCTCCTACAGCCCCTCCCCTGTGAAGAAGAAGAAGAAGAAGAGCTCCAAGAAGAGAAAAAGAAACAGGTATTTTTCCATGGGAAATGCAATTCCTAGTGCTGGCAGGGACTGCTGGGGGGGTTGGATGAGGGGTGGAAGCCCATGGTGGCTGAGCTCATGGTAATGGCTGCCCAGAGCAGAGGTGATGCAGGAGGGGCAGTGATGGTGTCCCTGCAGGCGAGGAGGGCACAAAATGTGGTGCACATGCATTGCAACAGGTAAACGGGAGCCGCTGGGGTGCAGGGGAAGAGGGACAGGAGCCAAATCAGAGCGCCTCTGCCCTGCTTCCTGTGCCTCCATCCTCTGGGATGCCAATGGGATCGGCACCTGGCACCGGTCCCTTTCCTTCCTCCCTCAGCCTGCAGCAAGTGTCTTCTCAGTCTTCCCACCGTAGCCCTGGGTCACTGCCTCCACATCCCCCTTGTGAAGGCTGCTTTTCATCTAAAGAACGTAGTTAAGTTTTCAAATTGCATATATTTCACTGTTTTCCCTCAACTGTTAACGAAGCGTCTGAAGAGAGCAGTGGACGCCATCTCCCCTGGAACGCTCATGTATTTGTAATGCATTGAACCAAAGAGAGAAGCTGGTAAAGATGGATAACAGGGTCTAAAGTTTAAAAGAATAGGGAGGAAAGAGAGAGAAGGATATGGAGCCCTTTAGAATACTCCCTAAATAAGGATTCTTCTGCTCATTTATGGATGCCGTCTCCTGATGGAAGCCTTTAGTACCCATTTACGCCCCTGCTAACCAAGGATCCTGCTAGCTGGTCTCAAAAGGGAGCATGATAAACCCCTAAGCATTAGTGACCGATGGAGGTTGTTTCCAGACACATGGAAGCACTTCCCCTACAGATCCCAGCTCTCCTTGCTATAGGCAGCTTCACGGTCCCTCCAGGCAGGCTGTGTCTTCTGCAGGATGTTGTGCTCCAACACGGGAGCACGTCTTGCATGCCCCAGGAGGCAAGGCAGGGGCATGGTGCTGGTTTGGCTGTGAGGATGCCCTGGAATGACACAGAAAGGATTCTTCCTTTGACTCCTGCTTGGTCCCTCAGAGAAAACAAGGGAATGACCTCACCTCTGCCCCTCAAACCAAGTGCAGTGCAAGACTGGAGGCTGTAGCAGAGGAAAGAGGTCCACCATGGCCAGGGGATGCACATGGTCTCCGTAGACCTGTTACCCTGAGGATCATACTCTCACTTATCTGTAGGGTGCTGGTTGCTTCTCCCACATCAGCATTTCTCAGCTACCCCATTGCCTAAAGGAAAGCCACCCCAGCTGGTACATGGGGTGGTCTCACAGTGCTCTCAATCTGACACTGGGCCTAAACACATTGTCTGATTCAAATCTCCAGTCTTGTGAGACCTGTATTCAATGTACATGTTTGTGTCTTGCAGGTTATCCTCAAAGAAGAGAAGACACAGGTAAGAGCTGCTCAAGTGTGGGTGGTCCCATAGAAACACGAATTTAATGGTCTCTTCAAGATCTCACAAGGCTGATGTTCACTATTTGGGGGCAGAAGACACTTTTCTTCTGTGACTCCTGTGGAATCCCCTCTTCCCTGTGGGTCTGGAGCTACCCTCTCCCTATACAGCATTCCTTAGACCCCATAGGAACCAGGTCTCCAGCCCAACCTGTGCAGTCAAGCACATAACTGAAAAAGCCCATTTGGTATAACCAAGCCCCTGGCAACCTCATCCATGTTGTATCCATCCTGCACCTTGACTCTTCATTTCTTTCATGGTTTCATTTGCAAACAGTAAGGAATCCCCTAGCAGTGCCCACCTTTAAAACACTCAGGGTCAGTGGCTTTCCAGGTGTGCACTGGAAGAGCTCTTCTGATTCCAGTACACATGTGCACAGTCCCAAGAAGCCACCAAGGTGGCTGATCCCTTTGAAGATCCTTTCTGGCCAAGCCCACAGCCAGCAGGCGCTCAGAGACCCCCTGTGCTGGGGCAGAACCATTAATCCCTTTCATTTTTTATCGCGTGCTCTTGGGCAATGCAGCTGTAACACTGACGTCTGATTGTGCAGCTTTCTATCAGAGCAGAAATCTCTGAATTAATTAGCCATTTCTTATCTAGTTCTTCAAGCCCCAAAAGTAAGAGAAAGGAAGAAAGAAAACACAAAAAACAGTAAGTAGTGATTCATGGAGTTCCTGTGTTCCATGTGTCCCCTGGAGCTGCGCAGCCCTAAGCAACCCTCAGGATTGTTTTGCAGCTAAACACAGCAGGTCTGGGTTTGCTGGAATGGAGAAGGTTTGTAGAGGCTGGAGATCTTTCCTTCTCTTCTGTGCCATCTCATTCAGTACCTTTTTTGTATTTCCCAGGGATGTACAGTGTCTTGTCCATCCAGTCCTGAACACAGAGTCCAGCTTTTTGGATGAGGGCAGCATGGGGGATGAGCTCAGCTCTGCAGAGCACAGTGCCCCACAGCCTCCCAAGGGCCAGGCTGGCATGCTAGTGCTGAAAAGGGCCTAAGCTCCTCCTTGTTGGCAGCTTTTGGAGGTTACAGTAGAGTCTACTCATGATATACAGTACAACCAAATATTCCAAATGGGAGCAGAAGGCAATGGGGATTAGGGAAGAGAAGGGATTGTTTGGAGGTGATGGAGGTTGTAAAAACCCGAGTTTGAGGATCCCATCTGCCCTAGCGTGTCAGCAGAGCACAACCCCTGTCCTACGGGGCAGTCAGTCAAGAGGTATGGAGTAAAATACGGCTCCTCAGGGATGGAAGGAAGACCTGTAAGCCCTTTCCTTTTTTTCACCTCTTATTGTGGGAATTGCACCTTGCAGCTTCTCACCTGCTTTCAGAGCAAGGAAGCAGCTCTGGGGCTGAACCCTGGGCATGAAGTCCCTGGTTAGCTTTGCTGAGACCTGGGACACCTTACTAGAGACAGAAACTGGGCTAGCAGATGGAAATCTGATGGTTTGTTTGGTATGAACACCTCCTGGTGCCGCCAGTGTCACCCCAGTACACACTGGGACTGATTGGGAGCGCATGGGGTGCACATCATGTTGTGCTGCCTGCCCAGGCCCTCTCTAGTGCATGCAGAGAGCCCATCTCCTTTTCTCTGTGATTTCTGTATGTTCAGTAGCACAGCCACAACTGCTCTTGGGGTTTAAACTAGCCAAGGCAGTGTCGCCCTCATCTTCCAGCTCCCAAAGAGAGATGAGTGACTCCTGGCTTCTCCAAACCTCCTTGTTGCTCCTGGTGTGGATGAGATAGTATCCCATGAGCCATCTTGCATCAGGATTTTTGTATAATCATGCTGCTTTGGCTTACCTGTGTATGTGCTCATCTAAATTACACAATACCAGGTTTTTTCTCCTAAAGAAAGAGGAAACATTTAAAGTGGAGGGACTGATGCAGAAGGTGAAGAGCAAACATGGGGATTTTAACACAAATCCACCGTATGAGGGAGTGATGTTCAGTGTTGCTGATTTCATGCATATGGAAATGAGGAACAAGGATCCCCAAATATGAAGTTTTAAATATAATAGGGTGTGAAGAGCATCACAGAAACCAGCCAGGTGGAGTTCAAGCAATTGCCCTGGAGGTTGCTCTGTTGTCTTAAAGGAAATGCTGCTCTCAAGCAATTGGTTTGCTGAGTTTTATAGCAGCAAATGGCTAAATGCTGTCCAAGCAGGTTGTATTAGTGCTCAGAGACTGGTATAGTGTGGCCATGAAACCAGAGCGTTCCCACTGGCTAGCCCACTGTTAGCTTTGCCTGCTGGCACAGCAATGCCAGCCTCAGCAGATGGCTACACTGCCACATGTGAAGTAACTGCTGCAGTGGGCAATGAGGAGAGGGAATGGGCACAGAGGGTGACAGGTAGGGAGGCTGGGGAAGGCTGGTTGTTACTGAGTGTACTGTGTTATTTAGAGCCTGTCCTTCTGCATCTGCTCTTTAACAGGGAGCTTGCACTGCAGAGAGGGTTGGAGCTTGAAATGCAAGGATTGGAGCTTTGTGATGGGTTGCCCAAAGGGACAGTGCCTTGCCACCGAAGGTCAGCAGTGTGAAGGTCCCAGGCTGTTTCTGGCTGTCTTGGGGTAGGCTGCAGGATGAAAGGCAAGCAGATGAGTGAGCAAGCACATAGCTCTTTAAACCAGAAAGGATTGGTGCTGGCTGCTGCACTCCTGCATGCTACTCTATAGATCTTCCCCCAGAAGGCTATAGAGCTAACCTAATAGCTTGCAGCTAAAGTGCTGCATAGATCTCGGTAAGATCACATGCCTTAATGTCAGTGTAGCTCTGAAGGCACGAAGAATTTCTCCTGCAGTGGTGTCCTGCACAATCTCCTTGCCTTAAAATGTAGGTCCCCTTTCTGATTTGAATGTTACTGACCTCAGCCTCCAGCTGCTGGATCTTGCACCCCCAGGTTTGCTGGCCTAATGGTGGTTTTCTTCTCTGCTTCTTCAAGCTCTCGTGGACGCAGCCGGAAATCCCATCGCCACCGCCACTGCCACTCTCGCTCGGAGAGCTCCGACTCCCACTCCCCCAGCTGCCGAAGCAGGTAACCTCACCATCCCTGAGCTGTGTCCTGTAATGCTTCCCAATGGGCTCAAGGACATGATTGCAACAGCCTCTATGACCCACATACCCTCTATGCAGAGCCTCATCCTACTCTGGTAGCAGCTATGTCACATCATTGAGGGCTGAGCTTCTTGTGGTGTCAGCTATAGAAGGGTTTTGCCTTGAGGAGCAGTGGCTGCTGCTTTTTGGTTTGGCAGTCACTTTTAATCCTCATGGCTGATGATCAGCTCATGACAGCTGATTCCAGCCTAGTCTTCCTTCCCCAGCCCAAGGGCTGTGTACTGCTGATGTCCCAAGAGATCCTTAAACAGAGTCTTAGCAATGGAAATGCATTTGCCCATGGCCATAGCCACCATCTTTGACCTGATTAAAATCTCCATCCCGTGGATGACAGATGCATCCTGGGGCCAGCTAAGTGGATGCTGGTGTTAGACCCTGCATCACTGCAATAGCAAGTTACACAGTTTACACACATCATGTTTCATGTTTTCTGAAAGCACTTGAACAAACCACCCCCCCTCTCCCACTTCACTCCTAACTACTGGGAACTTGCTTCTGAAGAGCTGATGTTCAGTGGGGGGAGGAATGCAGTCGGTAATCAGAGGGGTGTTCATGCAAGGGCAGACAGAATGTGCCTTCTCTTAGAGGTGTATTACCATAGGGACATTCGAGGCTGTATGGAAGTATGGTTTGCCTCGAGCCATCATAAAATCATGAACTGGAGCTGAAACACAAGTTTGAGGTCCAAAGCCTGGATGCAAAATATTCTTTGTTTAAAAAAAAGAGTAGAAAAGCAAACCACTCCTTTTCTCTGCATCCTGACTCCACAGAGCAGTCATGTGGAAAACCTTTCCCACACACAGTAGCCTAGCACAGAGCTGCCCAGGGTTTGTATGGAGCTGGTAATGGGCAGTACAGCAATACCAAGGAGTAACAGTTTGCCTGTTCATGTCTTCTGGAGGCACAGAGCCAGGTCTCGGGAGGAAAGGCGTAAAACACGGCGAAGACACTCCCGGCACCATTCCAAGATCACGGCAAAGCGAAGCTCCTCTGCAGAGGTTAAGGCCAGCCAAAAAGCCAGCCAAACCCTCCAGCTCTACAGCTTCCTGTCTCCTAAGGAAGTAGTAAGTATTACACACTGTGCTCCTCTGCTTGAGCTAGGAACTTGCTGCAGGAATCTGGGCAAGAAATCTGATATGAAACTTTTATAACTCAATTACAGTGATGTTAGACAAAGTTGGTTTAAAACTATAACTTATTAATGGTGCTGTTCTCCAATGTATTTCAAGTCATTCCTTCCTTCAGCACTTTCCCATCAAAGGTGGGGCTGGAGAGGGGAAAAATTTGCAAAGGCTCTAGCCTATGAATAATGAATTGAGGACATTTAACAAAAAAGAAACAAAAGAGTGGCCTCCAGGAATGATATTTTCCAGGGAAGTGTTTGTTATGCAGTCTTTGCTCAGCTGGATGTGAACTTAATTCACTGGTCTTCGTGTCCAAAAGTTTAGTCCTTCAGGGGAAGAAAGGGAATCAAACATATACATAAAAGAAACATCTATGTTTAATGAGTTGGTGATTATTGGCAAGGGGATATTTTCTGACTATCAGGATCCTTCTAGGATCACTGTTGCTCTGGACTGACAAGCCCAGGGGCTGAATTCGGAACTTACGAGCAGCTCTCATTGATGCTAATGGGAACTGCACGTGCAGCTGAGGGTAAAATCAGGCTCAGTGCTTTGGGATGTTTTTGGGATGGAAAGAGATTATAGATTTGAGGGAGAAAGAGATCGAGAGAAGTATTAGACACAGACTGATACGCAGTCTTCCTTTTCCATGGCATGTTTCCCATTTGTTCCCAGTTAGCTGCAAAGCTGAGATGTGATGCTCCTTGATTGTGGTGTTAGTATCTGATAGGCATTCTGGAGAGATAGATTGCTACATGGGATTCAAGGTAGTGCAGAATCTGGTACTTGTGTGGAAGTGTAACATTAGAGGTGTCTTCAGTACAGAGTCCTCCAATCGACAAAGAGATATATAGAGGGGAGCTGATTTTCTCCTTTAGGCCCAGTCATCAACTTGAAATAGCTCAGCCACAGGCAGTAGCTACATCAGATATGAGGCAGTGCCAGCAAGAGGAGAGACTTTATCTGCTCTCCCACACAGACAGTGTTCTGATCAAAATACACAGCGATTATACGTGGGTACAGACAGGCACAAGCTGTCTCTCAACATTATAGATATGCATATTTGCTCTCGTTATAGACCTCTATTGTGCAGTGCACATGTGAGTCATTGCTTATAAAACCATATAAGGTAGAGTAGCAGAACCTGCACACCACACATCAACACACACACATGAAGAAAGAGTAACAAGGTATGAAGCTCTTATTGCCGTGAGCCTGGGGTGTTGGCCTCTGTCAACTTGGGAAGGTAGGAATGACTTAAGAGCTCCTCCCAAAAAACAGCCAACCAAAGACTGCATCATGGCCCCAAGGGTTTTTTTTTGGTTCAAGAGGCATATTTTATGTAACTGTTTTCAAGTCTAAGCCTGGTTTTTAATGAGTAGTAGGTTTTCTCTCTCTGAAGCCAGGCTCCCCGAGTCCTGTGAGGCTGACTACCAGCTGCTCTGTTCCCTGAGCAAGAATAAACTCTAATTTAAAACTGTAAAAGCTTTAAAATGAGCTCAACTCAGGCATGCTGCACCCCCCTTTCCACTTGCTTCACTGGGGTAAATGAGCACACAAGCTGCAGGGCAGGGAAAATCAGAGCTTTACAGTTAGAAATGCAGGGGATGGATAGAAATGTTATCAGGCCCCTGCTGCTTTCTTTCTAGTAAGTGTTAATAACACGGGCAAATATTTAAATGACTAAAAGGCATCAGTACCTTTAATATGCGACCCATTAGTGTCCTTTTGCTCCCCAAAAGAAGTCAACTCTCTTGGGACCTCATTCAAGCTCACACTTAAGCACTTGTTTAAATTGAAGCCCCTGGTTAAGTGCTGCCCCTGAATTTCTTCTGTATAAGGTCATTAAATATCATGTACTGAAAACTGGCAAGGGAAAAATGGAATGGGAACTTGTACTCTCATTTATTAATGCCTATGCACAACTCTCTGATGCCTCTCCTTTTTGTGAGTTAAACAGTTCCTCTATAAATAAGCTTAGTCCTGTCAGCCTCGACTTTGAGAGCAGCCTGGATGTGTTAGAAATGAAAATGTGCTCTTGCAGAAAATGGTGATCACATAAAAACAAATTACTGGGAAAGAAAATGTTGTGTGAAAAAATCCAGAACTGGGCGTCAAAAATGCCATGTTTCAGTCCTCTGAGGATTGGGGTGTCACATTCCCCTCCCCTTCCCAGCCAAACCATCCTTACCTGGGAGATGCATTGTCATGTATCCAAAGGAAAGGGGATTGTCCGGGGAGGATCCCAATGAAGAGACTCAGAGAGACAAGGCGTAAACTCCCATGGGGTAATCTCACAGCAGTTCCAAATCAAAGATTGTGCTTTTTAAGCCATTTTTTTAATTCCACATTCTTTTTCTTCTGAAAACTTGAAACATTTTGTAGTAAATTCTGCTATTCCTCCCCCAGTTTGTTTTCCTTCCTTTCTACTGGAACAGCCACAATTTCCAGCTAGGTCTACCTGTAATTTATAAGGGATAAAGCATATGAAATAATGCCCTATCTATGCCTCTGCCTTGCTGCTTCTTTCTCTTTTGCCTTTATGCATAAGTTGGTGTGTGCACACACACATGCAGAAACACCCCAAAGTTCCCTGCTGCTCTTCTTTTTGGCAATGAATTCCCAAGCTTCTCCTACTCATTCTCCCCTTAATCCCATGCAGCCACAATAGCCACCTATTGAGAATGGGATTGAATGAGGGTCTGTGCCCCAGCATGCAGAGAAACTGGGTAATGTACAGCATCTATTTTTGAACAGGATCCCCTTAACCTGCTGCAGATGCTTTATTCTACACTGACACAGATGCATTGCATGCCAGTGTGCTTTCAGTGAGCAGTGCAATAGAAATGCCTGCAGGGTGTGAATCTAATTGCTTTTGTTGTACCTGATGAAGATAACTGCACGCTGCAGACACTTGCCTTGCCAGCTCCTTTACTTCCACTGAGACTCATTTACAATGTCACAAATGCACACAGGCTCGAGCCAGATTTTCAGTGAGGCTCAGTGGGGCATGGCTGTTTCAAACGATGCTCGTGTGTCTGCAGAAAGGTAGGAGTGAGAAACTACTTGGGATAGCAGGTGTAGGAGGGCTCAGGAAACCTTCTAGCAGACCTGTGTATTGCCTTGCTGTTGCTCCAGCCTGTTCTGGTTTACATAGGAAAAGCTATTCTTTTAACTGGTAGGCAGCATGTTTCTGTCAACAAAGAGGGCCCTTGAAGAGCAGAAAGGCAAAGCCTGCCATCAAAATGGAAGCTGTTCTCTCTTTTTCTTAACTCCCACCAGGGAACTGAGGTTGCTTCTGATGTGGGAAGTTTGCAGCTCAGCACTGGGACACAGGGAGCCCAGCAGACACTGATGGGCTCTGCTGTACACCAGGTACCAAAGAAGGAGGGGAAGGCAAACCCTCGCTCCAAAGTAGCGCCAGCCTAGCTGGATCCAAGGTGGGGACACCCTGCTCTGTGTCACATAGCCCTGGCTGCACCCCAGCACGCTGAAAAGATCTTTGCAAAGGAACAAACCTTTGCCTGGCACTCTTGGGAATTCAGCCCCAGCAATGGATCCAGGAGCCAGGCTGCTCAGCAGTGTTACCACCCAGCCCCAAATAACCCAAGCTCTGACCTTGCAGGGACAGTTCTGTCATTGCCTTCATGCTCCTGGACTTAGCTTAGCCCTTGTGGTACAAAAAGCCTCACCCTGAGCTCTCCATCTAGCCAAAAAGAAGGGTATTTTTCACTCAGTATTGCTCAATAGAGTGAGATCTGTAGTTGTGCAGCCCTCAGCAGGTGCTGCTCCCTGCACCAGCAGCTCCTCAGCAGATGTCTGCTGGGCCCTTGCTGAGAACAAGGCTCACCAGGGTCATTGACACAAGTGTTTTATTCCTTTCAGTATTCCAATGCACAGAGAAAAGAGCGAAGGGGAGACATTCTGCACCTCTGAAAAGGAAATTAACTCCACTTTGAAGTGAGTTGCAAGACAAGAATAAAAAGGCCCAAGAAAGAGCTCCTCCAAGCAGAAGTGAGGCTGTGCCACGCAGCTCTTTGATGGGTCTCAACCCCCTTATGGCTGAGCAGATGTAGAGTCATCTCTCACCCCAGGGCTGTTTGCAGCACAGTAAATGGAGTTGTTCAGTTTAATTGGAAGATGAGTAGTGATTGTGTTTTTGTAACCTATTAGACTGCACTGCCTCTTGGTTTAGGATCACACTCACAATTACAGTCTGGTGTATGAGTGAGGGCCTTATTTCTACTCCCCCTTCATCTTGATTAAGTAATGATTTGAATCCAAAAAACTCCAATAGATGCATCTTGGGGTCCCTTGAGGGCAGCAGTAGCTCCCCTGCTGAAAGCTGGAGGAGGCAAAGTTCTCTGGGATTGTTTAATTACTTGTTAGAGAGGTGGAAAAATGAACGTGTTCACATAGAGAAAATGAGACTGTGAATGAGCAGAGTGTTTTAGGACACTCTAGAAAAACAAAAAGCCATTAGAATTCAGCTGAGCTCTGCAGTGTTTGTAGATGTCGCACAGTGCTTTCAGATGTGGGACTGTTTCCATCTCGGGTGGCTGGCATGCCTTTCAGAAGCTGTAAAATGGGACCAGAAGCAAAGCCAAGGTTATGAGGAGGGGAATTCACCCAAGCAGACAGGCAAGTTGAGCATCTCGAGGCTTGTCCTGGCTCTTGCCACAGGACAGAAATCTCCCCCAGAGCCTGCAGGGAGGTACTGGCTACAGCCTTATGCCCTGAGGTGGTGGGGCTGGAAGTTGTTGTGTTGCCCCAGCAGCTGCCTTATCCCAGCCAGCTCCTCCAGGCCTCACATGGACTGTGGGCTCCATATTTCACTGATACCCACACGTTGTGGGTATCCCACAGGATGCTGCTACCCCCGATGTTGAGCTACAGGGGAGCTTGTTGATCCCCTGGTCATTTGACAGATTTTGTGATGTGCTGACAACAGTTGCTACTTTGAAGGTAGAATTCAGTGAAGGCAAAGCAGAGGCCTTAAAAGCTGGTTTAGAAATGCTAAGAAACTGCAGAAGTAAAGCCCTTTTGGTTTAGACCGGGAGGAAGCAGAAACAAGTGTGTGTGGTGCTGGGGTCGGTGTCCATCAGAGCAGCCTCGTCCCACTCCAGTCCTTTCCTATCTCTGCAGCCAGGGAATGCTTCCTTCACACGGTGGTTTTATGCCTGTAAATGGGAGGTGATCAAAAGCTGGCTGTCTCTTGGGTTGGGTGCAGATCTAATGCAAACCCACCTACTGAAAAATACCTAGTGGCATGTTTTAAAGATGATCCTGCATCTTCTGGGATGTGGCTGGGGAGAGTGCAGTGGTTCAAAGCAAAGAGGGCGTTTCTCTCAGGGCTCTGGATGTGGCATCAGGGTTTCAGAGAGGACTGGTGAAAAGCAGAAGCAAATAACTCTCTTATGCTCCCTTGACACTGTAATTTCTAGTGGAGTAAACAACGAGTGGCAGAGAAGTGCTAGAGCTGAAAAGTAGTAAGGAGCACTACCAGATGAGGACTTGCAATGTGTGTCTCCATTCATTCCTAGCTGGGAACACTTGGGAGATGTTTCTGCTCTGTTGAGGGTTTCTGCTTTGAAGGTGCAAGTTGGCTAGTGAAGAAGGATCACTTCAGTTCCCTTGTCTGCTGCTGGGGCTCCTGATGTCTCCAAGTTAGCACTAAGCATCACATAGAAGGTAGTATGGGGTGGGGATGGGGGAGTCCCCAGCTCCAGTATGGATTTACTAGGATGAACCAATTCCTACTCTGTTGTTCCTTACCCCAGAAGCAGTAATGCCTCTCTCCCTGGCAATATAGGAAGTATATGGAGAACCTCCAGCTCTGGGCATTCTCAGAGTGTGAGGATGTTGTGGGCAGTTGTCATGCCACAGACTGTGTGCTGGAAGCTGCTGTGTGTGTTGGTAGCTTTGCTCTGGTTTCAGTCACTGCTGGTTCAGCATCTGTGTCCAAGTCAGCAGCCTTCACCCAAGGGACACAGATCAAACGCCACAGGCAGGATGTGAAGGCACCATCTGATGGGATGAAGGAGCTCCATGTAAAAGGTGACTGTAAAGGGTCTGTAGTCCCTCTGTGGATGAGAAGGAGTCCTGTCCTCACACCAGCCAGTCCAGGGCTACACTCTCCAAAGGGGCTGACCCTGGCCCTGCTGTGTGACAAATGACCCAGGTCTCTGCTCCCTGAGATATTACCAACATTGCAGTGCTGTTTTCTCAACTCTGAATACCCCAGGTTTGTGAAGGCAAAGCATTGCCCAGTGTGGAGAGCGTGGCAGAGAGGGAAGGCATTTTGTGCCCTACAGCACAGTGTGAGGAAGTACGGCTTGTTGGGAACGTGTTGGAGGACTATCCCAAGCTGGGAGGACCAAATCTATGTGTCCCCATGCTAAGGACCCTAGATCAAACCTCATGGATTGGAATGAGAAGAGCATCTGAGTGAAAGAGAAGGAGGCTGGGTCTCCATGCAGATGTGCTGGGTCTGCATTTGGCCCTAAACCTGACCCCACTGCAAGGGCAGGGTGTTAGCACTAATATAGCCTTCCTCCCAGTGCTGGTACATTCCTGGACCAGCTCAGGTAAATGCCAATGGAGTTAAAACCGACCTGTAAAATACTCAAATGATGTAAATCCCTTTGGTGGTGCTCAGGGCCCCAGACAACAGCCCTGCCCAGGGCAGCCTATGGGGGTTTGGGGTCCGTGCTGACCCCACTGGGTTCAGCAACCACTGAAACCTAGCCAGAGTTTGGCTGAGCCCCACACAGAGGCTGGCAGGAGCAGGGCTGTGTCCCCTTCCCCATAAGGCTCCAACACAGCACAGGGGGGGATATTTTTCCTTCTCTATTTCTTGACTTCTTCCCTCACTTGAGCTCCCTTTGTCACTTCATGACACCCAGGGGGATTTAGTGCAACCTGTGAACACAAGCACTCAGCCTCTGAGCTGCCTAATTTAAAGCAGAAGGGAACCAAACTGAGTGATGAGGGAGACCAGCAAGCAGCCCAGAAGCAGTGGTGCCATTTGCATAGAGGAGGCGAGCAAACAGTTGGCAGTGTGGATTGAAGAGAGGGGTGATGTTTTTTTCATGTCATTTGAGACTCTAATGATGGACTTATGTTGCCCGCTCTTCCTTTTTTCTTACACCTTACCTACTAAAGGAGGAGTTCTTGATGGGTAAGTGGATGCTATCCGCAAGACACCAGGGAATGTATGAGAGGTCACTTGAGCGCATTAGCTATACCTTCTTCAGGGGGTAAAAAAGCACACAAAGAAGTATCTGTATACCTTTAATTTCCAGAGGGATTTTTCTTTTTCCCTCCCCCTTTTTTCTTTTATTTTTTATTTTTTCTCTTTTTTTTCCCCCTTTATTTTATTTCCAAATGAGAACTTGTTCATTTGCCAGTTTTTCCTTTGTACAGAAGCCCTTGGTTTGATTTGATTTTTTCTTTGCTTATTTTAGTGCCATCCATTCAGCCTCTTTATTAAGGAAGCTTAAAAAATCCACTCCTTTAAGATTTTGTTTCATTTTTGTTTTCTTCCCAAGGATTATGTAGGGGTTTTTATATGTATATACACATTTACTCATTGATTTTTTTTTTCCACCTCCCCTCTTTTAAGGTTAAATAAGGGCTTTGTCCTCTTTTTGATTCAGTTATTTTGGTTCTTTTGTTGCCCGTTTACTTTGCTGAACTCTTTTTGTTTAACATGAATCGCATGCTGATACTCTTTGCATGATCTCTAAATCTTCCCGTTATCATAGCAGGGGGAAAAGAAGTTTCTTCTTACTGTGGTTTTCTTTCAGGGATATGTGCTTTTGTTTTCTTCTCCTCTTTCTTCTTTTTCTTTCTTTCTTTCTTTCTTACTTTGTTTCTTTCCTTTTGTTTCAGTGCATCATGATGGTAAAATTTCTGGGTTTATTAAAAAAAAAAAAAAAAGGCAAAATAAAACCAGAAACCCCCCCCCCTCCAAACCCATTCAAACAATGCCAAATGGCTTTTTTGCTTTCAGATCTCTCAGTCAGGGTCTTCTGCTGACCTCTTTACCAAAACAGACAGCCCGCCTGGCAACCTAGCCAGCCACAATGGAGAGTATCATGAATATGACTCAGGAAACGATACTTCCTCCCCTCCCTCCACTCAAACGAGCTCATCCAGGTCAAAGGACAGCCAGGAGAAAAGAAGTCTAGTCCATGATGGCTTTGGCCATGCCTTCTCAGCCGGGAAGCCCAGACTGGCCAACAGCGATAACAGCTCTGATTCAGGAAATTCCTTCACCAGTTGCTTTTCCCAGACCAAGGGAACAGCTTTGGAAAATCTGTCTCCAGATGCCCAGGGACAAGACCGAAGGTCAGTGATTACCAGTAGCTGCTGCTGGCAGCCACATACCTGGTACGTTGTTGCTCTGTATCTCCTGCCCGCTCGCCAGTTGCAGTGGTGAGCTGGCAGGGAGGGGTTTGTGGTCTGGAGGCAGTGAGATGTAGATGAGACCCACGGTCTTGCCAGTCTGGAGTCCAGAACCCAGCAATGATCGATGCTGTAGCCTGAGGAGGAAGATGAAAACCCAGCCATCACAGCCCTGGGCATTGCTTGTGCTAGCTCTTCTGGTATCAGTGTGGTTAACACAGGATTTGACCCTGGGTTGGGCTGTGTCCTGAACACATCCCTGCTCAGCTGGGCATGACCATGGCAAAGAAGAGAGTCACTGGTCCTTCTGGGCAAAGTCTGAGAGGTGCATCAGGGGGTTGCTGTGCTAACTTTCCCCATCTGCTCACTGTGAGGAAAGGAAGCGGGGCTCATTTTCACTAAAACCATTCTGGGCTGTTCTTTCACCTATCCAGCCTGCCCCTTCCCAGTCCATCCCTGGGTGACAAGACAGCATCTCCTGCAGATGGGGAGCGCAGGGAAGGGCAAGTGCCTGGCTGGCTGCAGGATAACACAGAAGCAGCTCTGCACGCTGGAGCCAAGGGGCATCAAGGCTGGGGGCAGCAAGTCAAACCATGACCCAGTGCTGCAGGGTCATCAGGAGAAGGGAGTGGATGCCAGCCTCCATCACCACCTCCCATTCCTGGGAGTTTGCCCAGTGATGTAGGGGATGAAGGCACTGAAGTGCAGTGGTTGGTAGCCAAGGCCATGTGCAGGCAGTGGTGTTAGAGAGCTATTCCAGCTCAAGCCCTCGGCTCTTTAAGGCTGAAAGTTAGGGCCGGGATGTGGTCTGGGGGTGGGAGCATTGAATGAGAGAGGAGAGGGAGCCAGGGAATTGGTGTTAGGAAGAACAAGCCCTTGGTTTTCAGTTAAGAGGGTAACATTTTAGGGCTCTGTGTGCTTTTCACATTGTGACTCCAGTGGGGTAACTCTGCCTTCACATGGGTGCAGTTGGGATTGCAGCTGACCTGCTCGGCTGCTGGGCTCTAACCCAGGGCGCTTCTGGAAGCAGAGGAATTCACACAGCCCTGCTCCTGCTGCTCCACAGCCAGGCTGGAGCACAAGCCCTTGCCCTACCATGCTCCGGCTTGCCCTTGCTCCAGCACTTCTCACCTCCTCACTCGCTGCTGCACCACTCACTGGCCTGACCCAGGCTCCGGCAACCAGATACCTCTGATGTGTTGGGCATGGGACACAAGAGCTGCCTCTCGCACCACCTGGCACAGCCTGGAGGGTGAGCTCTTGAGCTCTGACCCACAGGGTCTCCTGCAGCAGCAGCCTGGAGAGCCAAGAGGTCTTTTGTATCCCCAGTTGCGGAAAGGGAGGATGGGAGCAGTTGTTGGCCGGAGCATGATGCTCCCCTCAGCCAGGGACCAGCCCCAGCTTCAACACCTTTCCAAATGTCTGTCCACAGAGGGTGCCTGTCCTTATGTCTCAGCTGCTCGGAGGAGAAGAAGCGAGATTCCCCCCGGTCCCCAGGCCGCAGCTCCTCACCGAGGCCGTGCTCCCGCAGCCAGTCCTGCACCAGCACGGGCAGGTCTTCCCCTGGCTCCAGCCGCTCCCGCTCCTCACACCACAAGGCCTCTCCCAGGTACTCCCGAAGCAGGTCCCGTTCTTCAGGAAAGAGGTAAGGCCTCTGAACGGCTGTCCCTGTGACCATGGGCAATGTCTTAACTCTTGCAGCCTGGCAGGGGAGGTGTCACAGTTCGGGGGGTACCTACTTCACCCCACATGGCTTGGGGCGAACTGGACACACAGAGCTGAGCTCTGAAATACAGGGCATCTCCTTCCCCCACCCCATGAACCCCAGGTTTGGAGGAGTCTTGACCACCTCCCCCCAGCATTTTTAACTCTTGCATGGTTCTTGCCTATCCCCAGGTCTTCCTCACGTTCCCCCAGCTACTCCTCCAAATCCTGCAAAAGAAGTCCTGGGAGCAGGAGTTCAAGGCCTCGCCGGAGCCCCAGCTACTCCCGCTACAGCCGTAGCAGGTACAGCTCTCTCCTCATCCTTTCCCACTGCTCCTTCCCTTGCTGGGACTCCAGCACACTCACTGCCTCTTGCCAGCCCCAAACTGCTCCCTCAGCTTCCTCACTGGGTGCTTCAGTCCTCAGCAGCTGGGGTGAGAGGGAGCAGGGGGACATGGAGTAAGGATTGTGGCTGCATGTTATGTTGGCCCTCAGTCCAGTGGGAATATCTCACCATTTATTGCCCCAGAGCTGGTGCTGGTTGCAGAGGGAAGAGCCCAAAGATGAGCTTTTTCACATTGGGAAAAGTGGATTTCCTACAGCCCTATGCTGGTCCGGGGGACTTTCACATAGAGCACTTTTGGAGCTAGGCAAGGTTGCTGGGAAAGAGACGCGGTTTATCCCTGGCTTTGGAGCATCGTGGTACCTCACACTCGGAGTGTGTGGCAGGTGAGGTGGCTGTTCCTCTGCTCTGAGCATTTGCAGCTAGGAGTGCACAGATGGCTGCTTGCTGGTGGTGTTTGCCAGAGCCTCATCAAAGTGGGAGATGCCTCACAGGAGAGCCCAGGGACTGCCCCTCTCTAGCATGCTGGTGTAAATGGTGGGCAGAGGATTAGGCTCCACTTGGGTCTGCCCACACCTTTCATCACCAGAGGAGATCATGCTGGCCAGCAGAGCTGCAGCCCTTGTCAGAGAGGGATCTTAGTCACAGCTCTGCCCTGTGAAGTGCCCCTGCTGCGTGGGGAGATGTCAGGTACCTTCATGCTGGCACTCACACAGCCTTGCAGAGGCAAACCCAGTGCAGGCAACTGAAAACACACATCTCACGAGCTCAGCCCTAGAGATAGGTGCCTTTGGGCAGGTTTGTCTGCTCACATCTCTGCCACTGTGAACATTTTGCACCCTTAAATGTTATGTTGCCAGGGTCTGGTTGTTGCAGGCTCTGACAATCCCTGCCGTGGTGTCACAGAACACGTCCTGCGTGCTGGGATCAGGCCCTTGACCTGTAACAGTGCTTTGCAGATGGCACTGAGCAGGGTGTATGAAGTCAGCTCCACTCCACAGAAGGGCCTGTGCTGACGTGTGTGGGGAATTTAACAAAAGAGAAAACCATAGCAACACTGGCACTCCTCCTGGAGAGCAGGGCAGAGCTGCACAGCCCTGCAGGGATACTGGGGCCCTCTGCTCACGTGGGGCCTGCTGCCAGGGCTGTTCTGGCCTGCTTCTGCTGCATAGCCAGCAAGAGCTAAATACAGCGTGCATCCATATACACAGGTATGTGGAAGTCATCCTAGCCTGGCAGGGCAGGGCCACCCTGCTGAAACCCCCAGATGGGATTACTGCTCATGCCCGTTGTGCTCAGTGTGTCTCTTTGTCCAGCTGAACGAATGAGCACAGGGCTGATTCTCCCAGAGCACTTTGCCGTAGCGCTGAGTGTCCTCTGTGCCTTCACGGGTCATTGCCCCCACATCCAAAACCCCAGCAGTGACAGTTTCAACATGTGCCTTCCCAGAGAGCGCGAGCACAAGTACAGCTCCAGCGACAAGGAGTCGCACCGGGAGCGGGAGCGGGACCGGGACCGGCAGCGGCGCTCCTATTCACCCCTGAGGAAGCGGAGGAGAGACTCTCCCAGCCACCTCGAAGCTCGGCGCATCACGAGGTAAGGGGATGCGCTCCCATCACTTGGAGACAAGCTCAGCCAGCACTCCCCAGGGACACACATGTGGGTGTGCTCTCTCTGGGGCCCAGCCCTTGGTTTCTCCAGGAGGAGACTGGTTTTCCTTAGCCTGATCAGGTCCTGCTGTCCCTCCTAGAGCCTGGGGATCTCCAGCTAGAGGCAGAGGGAGGGTGGAGGGTCTCATTTACAACAGATGAAGTCAGAGCAGGGGCTCCTCCATCATGTGCCATGAGCATCCCCCTCCAAAGCTTTTTGTTTCACCCTCTGCTGTAGTAGATGTTCCACGCTACACAGTGTCAAATACTGAATCCAACCTTCCCACTGCAGGCTCTCTGGGACAACATCAAGCAGAGTTCAACCTCAGACTTGGTGCTTGGGACATTCCCAAGGGCCATGGCGGTGTGTGGTTTGTATCCCAAGGCCTGTCAGCTAACTTGATCTGCTTTCTTTCTTCTAAGCAAACACATTCTGGGGGAGTGTTTTGCAGAATAAGCAGTGCTTTCTGGAGTCTTCAGCAGTAAACCCATCCTTGTGCTGCTGGTAACCCGCATCTCTCTGTCCCCACAGCGCCCGCAAACGCCCCATCCCCTACTACCGGCCCAGCCCCTCCTCCTCCTCCAGCAGCGCTGGCAGCTACTCCTCCTCGTACAGCAGCTTTAGCCGCTCCCCGAGCCAGAGCCGGAGCTACTCCAGCTACCGGACGAGCCGGAGCCGCAGCCGAAGCTGGAGCAGCAGCAGCAGCACCGAGGGCAGAAGCCGGAGCCGCAGCCGCAGCTCGGGCCCCAGGAGCAGCCGCAGCAGGAGCAGGAGCTATGACTCAGGAGGCAGCTCCGACAGCCTGCGTCGGTAGGGAGTGCCGCGGACGGCTCCCAGGGCTGGCGTCACCTCCGAATTCCTGGCATTCTCCGCTTCCTTCCCACCTACCTGGCCATCGATAGCAATCATCCCCATACTGATGTGGGGCGCAGCGCCGGGTCCCCCTTCCCCGGTTTGGAGTGAGAGCCCTCGTGCGCCCAGTGCAGCCCCTTCACCACCTCATGGAGTGAGTGGATCAGTCCCAGCTCCCCAGGCCAGGGCTGGAAGAAGGGTTGGTGCTTTACAGAGGGTCTGGCACAGCAGACCTGCGCCATCCTCCCCATCGCTGCCGCTCTCCAATGCGCTACCAGCTGGTCCAAAGGAAAGAATTCAGCCTCTTGCTCCTCTGCCAAACCAGCAACCAGTGAATGATCTTCTGCTGGAGGGAGAAGCCCAGATAGGGATGGATTTGCTGGGAAGCACTGGTGATGGGTGGGAGTGATTTGTCCCCACCAAGGCAAGTATCAGGTCCCGTGGGTCTCTCCTCCAGAGTTTCTGCCCATTCTGCAGCAGGCCTCTTCCATGAGAAAATACATATTTATTGCTGGCCAGCCAGCCCCTGCTATAAATAGAAGGCTAGAAACCCTCCTGGCATAATTCCTGGGGGGAGAAAAGGCTGTTCCTTCTCTTCCTCCTGCTGTTTTCTACCAGGTGTGCATCATCTTTGGCAGGGTTGTTTCATCCCCACCCCACCACTGTGACTTGCTTGCGAACTGCTGAGGTCTGAAGCAGACATGGGGCCAGTGGGGTACAAGAGAGAGGAATGCTGGTGCCAGGCTGTGCTCCAAGGGTCAGGGCCGTGGGGTTCCCCTCTCAGAGAAACCCTCTTGCAGTTTGGGATGAGCTTTTCCCGAAGGGAGGGCAGTGCTGGTGGGACTGCAAGCTCTGCAGATAGGCTCCTGTGGGGTGCAGTGAGAGCACACAGGGACCCCCATTCCCCTTCCTCATAACAGGCAGCAATTTTAAGCAGTGCCAGGAAGATTCCAGGACATTGTTCAGGGTTTTGTCTCCCTGCCAGCCCAGCTCCTGCGCAATTCCTGTGTTTTGCAGGGTAACAAAGGCTTCTCCCAGCACAGGCTGAGCTGGTGCTCAGGAGGATTTCTCTTACAACACCTGGGTGCTTAGAGATGTTAATTTGGGCTTAAGGCATCCCTCCCTCCCTTTTTCCATCCCCTCCCCTTCCATCCTGCGTGATCATTAACAAGTTTGGGCTCCATGAGTCAAGGAGGTGTGTCACTCGAGTGTCACAGCAAAGGGCTAAGGGGAGGAGGAGAGGGGGCAGAAAGAAATGCAACATCCCCCCCACACCCAGCTACAGTTATACCACAGTCCCCCCAGCAGGTAGAGGGGCAAAGCTGCAAGTGGAGGAAGTCCAAGCACTGGATGGTCCCCTTAGCAAGCACATGAACCTGTTACCTGTTGGAAAGGACAACAGGGTGGGGTGTATTCCCACCTGAGAGGCCCAAAACACAAGGGTCCCCCTTGTCCTCTGTCTTCAAACCCCAAACCCTTCCCCTTTTCCCAGTCCCTCATCCTCTGCCTGGGTAATGCAGGTAATTGGAGGATGAGGGTGGCTGAGGCAGAGCTGAGCATTGCTCTGGCTTGCTGGGGACGTGTCCTGCTGGGAGGCCACTTTGTAGGACACACAGAGAAAAGCTTTGCTGGTGAGGCTGAGCAATCGCTCCAGGGCTTTGGCTGAGGGATCAGAGACGGGGTGTTCTTGCCGTGGGGTGCCACAGCCTTCCATCCTGCGCTGCCCTTGACAGCAGCCCCTTGGCCATCTTCTGCAGCGGGCTCCCTCCTCGTAAAGGGCTGAAACCTCATACTTGTTCCCCAAAGAGCCTCTCCCGGTGTGACACTGAGCACCCTGTCCTTCTGCTCCTGGGGAAGATCCGAAGGCAGCGATGGGAGCCCAAACCCCAGATCCACCAGCGTTCCAAGAGTATCCTCATCCCTCCTAATGCATATGGAAGGAAGCAACAAGCCAGGAGGTCAAAAACTAGGACAGAAGAGAAGAGGGGCTTTGTGCCACTGGTGTAAATACCAAACACAACTGACTGGGGACAGGTGATCAAAGCACCACATCAGGGCCAGCAGCACCCACCAACCATGGGACAGATGACTCCAAGGGTTGCGTGGAGCTGACAGCAGCTCTGGTTCCCATCCAGCTGATCCATGCTTTAAGGGCTGCCTCTGCTTGCGTGGTCCATGGCAGATAAACATTCCTGGGGTTTCCTCATGTTGGAGTAAACCTCTTAAGTTATTTATTTATCTATTTATTTATTTATTCTTGTGATTCTGTGTTTAATCGTATGTCAGAAGGGATGCAGGTGCTCCCTGGTACCAGTATTTATTTATTCCTGTTTGTTTTGAAGCAGTAAGTTATTTTGGGATCTGTTTGTTTGTTTGAATGTATCCATGCCACTGGTCTCCTGTAAAGGTTTACAGCCCTGGCCCCTCTTGGTGAGGAGTGACGGTCACTGCTGCTGCCAACCCATCCCTTTGGCTGCGCTCTCTGGAGCAGGGTGGAGAGGCTGTCGGTCCGTTCTCATGGCAAAATCCAGGGTTTCTCAGTAGCTTTGTGATGGATGTGACCATAGCCAGGGGTCTGGGACCTCACGGAGGTGACGGCGAGGGTCTGCTCCCCGGCTGGCCACGCACTGGGGTGTCTGCGGCGCTGCAAGGGGAAGTCTCAGCCCATCCCTGCTGAGCGCGGTCCGTGCTCCCCCGGCTGGCTGCCAGCTGGCTGCTGCTGCTGCTGCTGTTTGCCTTGGCTCCGCACAGCCCGAAACCGAGCGGCTCTGCAGAGGCCCCGCTGCTCCCCCTGGGAGGATGCCATCGCCAGGACTCCCCTGCCCTGTTTATCCACCCATGGAAGAACTGAAGGAATGAGGCTGCGAGCGAGTGAGCCAGGCTGAGGCTGCTTGCAAAATCCCCGCTGTGGTGACAGGACCCAGCCGAGCCTGTGGGTGCACGCGGATGTGCAGGTGGATGTGCAGGTGTACACGAGATCCCTCAGTGGTGGTATTCACCTTCTAACTTGCTTCAGATGTGTACTACAATGGAACATCACCCTCCCTGTCCGTGGAAGCTGGTTTCCTGTTGCTTTGCCTGAAGCCCGTGAGCTTTTCTGTCTGTGCCTTTTGCCAGCACTTGCTTGGTTTTTAACGTTGTTTTGCTCATTCATTGCTTTCATGGACTTGCTTTCATCTCAGCTTGCTGCTGGTGCTCTCTGCAGCGAGCAGCATTCACCTGCTGCAAAGGCAGCTCAGTCCGTGTTGGTGAATCACTGCTTGCCTGCTCTTGGCCTCATGAGGGATGCCCAGGGGTGGCTGCAGCCTTGAGGCGCCAGGAGAACATCTCAGCTGGTTTTTGGAGGCCCCATCTCAGAGGGGTTTGCTTTCCTCAATCACAGGCTCTTCCCCACCCATGGTTTTGTTTCCATCCCATAATCACCCCGCTTGCAGAGCACATCACATCACCCATCCCAACTGTCACCCTGACCCCAGAGCTCTGCTGTTGGTTCCCCATGCTCCGGGGACTACCTTGGGGTTATCACACTGAGCAAGGCTCACCCCACCTCTCCCAGTCCCTGCACTGGGGCCAGGCTCAGACAACCCAACCCCATCCCTGCAGGTTTGCTGGACAGCAAGGATAAGGGATGTTCCAGAGCCCTGCTGTGTTCTTGCCTTCCTTCCTGAGTCCCAGCACCCCGCTGACCTTTGCTTTGTGTTGACTGCAGCTTTTCTCCATGTCTCTGTTGCTTTGGGGGACTGAATTTGTACCAAACTCGTGTGCAGCAGCCAATCACTGTTATTTTGCTATGCATTGTACATACATTGAACAGGCTGAGAGGACTTGGCCTCTATTTAATATTTATTTCTTCTATTTATTGAGCATTCCTTTGAAAAAGCTTTTTGGGTCTTGCCATTGGGTCCAGGAAGGCAGGGAGCCTTCGAGGTGCTGCCACATCCTTAGAGACAGGTTATCAGAGAGGGGGATTACCGGTAAGTGAGGCTGTCACCAGCATGGAGATGAATCAGGGTCAGCTGGAGCTCAACTGCCAGCGATTCAGAGGAATCTCATTTAGATGAAGATGAGCGAAGCAGGGGGAAATCCTCCATCTTCTTGGACCAGCTTCTGTTGACAAATCACAGCTGGGCCTTGGGAGGTGACAGAGCCTGTTGTGGTGGAGGAATAATCCTGCTTTTCCTCCTCTGTGCCATGCAGAGATCCCTGCAGATCTCTGCTCTCCCACCACTGGCCCCCTCTTGGTTCCCAGTAGTTAACAGTGGACTTGTCACCCTTTCATTGATTGATGGGATTAAAGGGATAGGGCTGAAGTGCTTTGCCAGGCAGCAAGGGCATCCACCCTGCCCCATCCCCAGGCCCTCATCCTCGTGCCATGTCCTGCCTTGCCCCCTCCACCTGCAGGGCACCCATCCTTGGGGCTATCGGGATGCTTGTTTGAGAGAGGGGCAGATTCAGGTGCCTGAGTGATGCCTTTGCCCTTCAGTGCCCACTGGGGTTTTGTTACCTCCTCACCAGAGAACCCTCATGACTTTTGCTGCTACCTGGAAGTTTGCACATGATGGGGAGGCTCTCCGGAGCCCTGCTGCATCCGCTGTTGTGGCAACACCTCCACGGTCAAGCATCCTCACTTTTGGGCTCCTGCCCAGAGAACAACACCCGGAACCTCCCCAGCCCGGGGCAGCTCTGCCTCCGAAACCCAGGAATGAGAGGATTTGGAGGTGAGAAAAGCCATGAGGGAAGCGGTGTCCGTGTGTCCTCACCCGCTGGTCCATTCCCGTCTGCTGCTGTGACCTCATTGTGACACCCCTTTGCTCTCCATGAAACGCAGACTGTATTCCTTAGTCTTCCTGGGGTATTCCTGTTGTTAGCCTGGTTAGGAGAAGGGTTCCAATAAAGGCTCAGACAGTGTTTCCTTCTCACTGCAGCCCCGGTGGTCACGTTCCTGTTGGATCCGCGGTGGGATGGTTTGGGTTCTCCCAGTTGCTCCGCAGGCAAGGGCAGGGCTCCCTGCGGCACTGGGTGAAGCAGAGCAGTGGTGGGTTGGTGTTTGTGGCAGCTCTCCCTGCCCTTCGCTGTTCCCAACAGGACACCAGGAAGGGCCTGGGCACACGGGGGGCAGCATCCCCAGGTCACTGGGAGGAGAAGGCACTGGGGGGGAGGTTGCTTCGTGCTGCCCAGAGCTGATGCGGTGGGGCCCGGCTGGAGGCTCCTGTGACAACAGGAGCTAAATTGGGATGGCCCAGGGAGGGGACATGTGACTAATTGGGATAAACAAGGTGCCAGGGAGGATTCCTGGCCGGGGAGGGAGCGTGGCCCGCAGCTGTGCAGGGAAATGTGGGGCTGGAGATGCTGGGAGGCTTCTGGAAATGGCAGGATCCTGGAGCTGCTCCAAGCCACCCCGGGGCTCGTCCCCTTCCAGCGGGTGCGGAGCTGGGGTGATCCCGCTCCCCGGCCAAGCTGAGAGGAGCTGGGCTGCAGGGCCAGGCAGGACAAAGGGGATGGAGGGGGGTGCTCTGCCCCCCCACTGGAAGCTGCCTCCTTGCATCCATGGGTGCTCAGCCAGCAGCCAGAACCTCCCCAGGCACCCCCTTATGCCCGAGGGAGATCCCTGCACATGGCGGGGACAAAGGAGCTGATCCCATGGGAGCATCCCTGCCCCACACCAGGGAGAGGCAGCTCCCTCCCCCTGCAGTGTGGCGTCGCAGCAGCGTGATTAATGCCGCTGGAGTGACCATCGGCTGAATTGCAGCGCGGCCTGGGCTGCATGAAAGCTTCCTGCTGTAATTAGTTCCATCAAGTCTATTAGAGAAATTGCAGATGCTGGGGAGAAGGAGCATGAGGCAGAGCCAGGAGGGAGGATGCGGCACGGGGAAGTGGTCCCGTACCCAGCACCACCTTCACTGCTCGCATCCCACCGCGCACCCAAGCCGTGCCTGGACCCCCTCCCTCGGGAAGCCCCTCTCCGGCACCAGGTATGGGCGCTGCGTGCAGGGCCGGGGCCGCCTCTCCCGACGGGAGCTCGCAGGCTCTTCCCACGGCGCTGCCCGCTCCCGCTGCCCTGTAATTAGCGCCGCGGCTGTGATTAACGCCTCGCCCTGCCTGCGCCCGCCGCGGGGAGAGGAGGAGGCTGAGGGGAGGCCGGTGCTGAGCAAGGACCCTGCCCCGCCGCCGCTGGGGTCCGTCTGCTGCAGGATGCGGCTCTGGGCATCCCCTGGAGGGGGGCATCCCTCGGCTTTCCTCCTGCATCCCGCAGCGCAGCGCTGGGCTGCTCAGATGCAGAGAGGGGCTCTTCATTAGGGACTGGAGCCATAGCACAAGTGGTGATGAATTCACACTGAGACAGGGGAGACTGGGATGAGCTCTTAGGCAGAAGCTCTTCCCTGTGAGGGTGCTGAGGCGCTGGCACAGGGTGCCCAGAGAAGCTGTGGCTGCCCCATCCCTGGCAGTGTTCAAGGCCAGGTTGGACACAGGGGCTTGGAGCAAGCTGCTCCAGTGGAAGGGGTCCCTGCCCATGGCAGGGGCTGGAGCTGGGTGACCTCAAGGACCTTTCCAACCCACCCCAGGCTGTGATTCAGTGACTCCTGCTCCGGGTCACAGAGGGGTCCTTCCCCTGCCCCAGTGCCCCCAAGCCCCCACCCTCACAGCCCCGCACTGGAGGTGCCCCCAGTGACCCATTTCCCAGCACAGTGGCTCCGTGCTGGCGCGGGGGACTCGTGATTTACAGTGCGGGGCCCAGCCCCACCGGGGGTATTTTTAACCGGTGACCCTGGGCCGGAGGCAGCCGGCGCTGAGCTCGGGGCTATTTCGGGTGCCGGGGCTGGGCGCAGGGGGCAGCGCGGTGCGGAGGCCGGCGGCAGGGGTCAGCTGCCGCAGCCCGGATTCTCCACGGCTGTTTCATCCTCTCCAAAATACCCGGCTGACAGGGCAGGGATTGCAAAACACCCCCCCCCCCCCTCCTCCTCCCAAACCCGTATAAATAGGGCTCGCCCGGTGGCTGGAAGGTCGGAGAAGTTTCTCGGCTTCGAGCTCGGGCATTTATTGCAGCTCTCGGCCCCTGTAAAGCGCTGGGAAGGGAGAGGAGGGGCGCGCTGCTGGACGGACCTGGGATATTCGGGGCTTTTTGGGGTGTTTGAGTTCTCTCTGCCGCCAAGTTTTGCCTCTCCCCTCCCGGTGCCTGGGATCGCGGCCAGGCAGGAAGCGTTCTCTCGGAGCTGCCTCCGTCCTCCGTGCGCTGCTCCGGCTCGCAGTGATTCAGCCCCGCACTCATCCGCGCCTCGTCCTTCCCCTGGTGCCCGGGAAGCAGCGGTCGGACCCCGCGGCCCGCCCGGCGTGGATGCGTCTCCTGCGGGGAGGGCTCCCCAGGGAAGTTCGCAGCCAGGAGCAGGGGCTGAGGCTCCGGGGGGGGGGGGGTGACATCCACCCGTGCGGACCCCGCTGAGGGCGGCCATGGCCGACAGCCAGATGCCCTTCTCCTGCCATTACCCCGGCCGGCGCAGCGTCCGCGACCCGTTCCGGGAGCCCGGCCTGACCTCGCGCCTGCTGGACGATGACTTCGGGATGTCGCCCTTCCCCGGGGACCTCACCGCGGACTGGCCCGACTGGGCTCGGCCCCGGCTCACCACGACCTGGCCGGGCCCCCTGCGCTCGGGCATGGCCCGCGCCTCCGCCATGGCCCCCAGTTACGGAGCCCACTTCGGGGGGTACCCCGAGAGCCGCAGCCCCGCGCCCTTTCCCCGCGAGCCGTGGAAGGTGTGCGTGAACGTGCACAGCTTCAAACCCGAGGAGCTCACGGTCAAAACCAAGGATGGCTACGTGGAGGTGTCAGGTGAGAGAGGGGGAGCAGGAGGAGGAGGTACTGGCTCAAGGCATCGCCGTGATCACCTCTGCTGGGAGCCGGCAGCGGCTCGGGGCAGTTTGGGGGTGCGATGTTGGGGGGGGACACCTGGTGCACAAACCGTGGTGGCTTGGTTGCAGAAATGGGAAGGACGAGGCTCCTGTGGGGTGAGGGTGCAGGGAGGCACCAGGGCGAGTGGCAGCTGCCAAGAGGGGCCCCGGCTCGGCTCGGTTAATTATAGCTGGGGTGAGGCCGGTGCGGAGGGAGATACCCTTTAAAGGGGCCAAGGGACAGGCAGCTCCAGTGCTGGGAAGTGGGGGACAACACAAAGAGCCCAACCAGTGCAGTTACTGGTGGGGATGGTGCCAGGAGCATCCCTTCGGCCCAGCACCCACATCCTGCATCACCCCGAGCTGGGTCCCCAAGGAGGGCAGTGTGGCTCCTGGCATCACATGGGGACACCCCCCAGACAGGGGGATCCAGACAGCCTGGGTTTGACTTCAGAGATGCTCCAGGCCCAGGGAGCCCCATCCTGACAGCGCAGTGCAGGGGAGCAGGACAAGGGGGGATGCTGCCACCTCCAAAGGATTTACTACATCTGGGGGCTTTTCCTTAAGGCCCAGCTCTTGGCGGGCTGTGAGACCCCAGGCTCCCACTGGAAATGTGGGTGTGCTGTGCCCGGCTTCTCCTGCCCCACATAGGAGAGGCTCCCAAAGGGAAGGGTTTGCAGAGGGGAAGGGGAACGACTCCTCTGGGGACCCTGCTGTGGGGTTCTGTTGTTGGGGTGCGGTGCTGACGAGGGGCTCCCTCCCTCACAGGCAAGCACGAGGAGCAGCAGGTGGAAGGAGGGATCGTCTCCAAGAACTTCACCAAGAAAATCCAGTGAGTACCAGCCTGCCAAAGGGGCTGGGGCGCAGCGGGGGCTGCCGCATCCTTCTGACCAGCACCCAGATGTCACTGCCCTGCTATGGACCCCGTCCCTGCAGGCTGAGCTGTGCCAGTCCCCACGCCCTGGCTCATGCGGGCAGGGGGGACTCCTGAGCCTCTTTTCACCCCGAAACCTGCCCTTCTGCAGCTCGTGCCGGGCTGGTTCAGGCCTCGCAGTAATTCCCCAAGGGAGCTAAAAGAGGAGGAGAGCTGTTTCTGGGTGCTTTGCCAGTCTCCTCCAGGCCAAGGGCTGTGTTTAGAGCCAGTCAGGGCACAGGAAGCTTGCGGGGGTACTCCTGGTGCCAGCACATCCCCCGGGGCTCAGCAGGGCGCGATGGGCTGACACCATCATCAGCCCCAAAATCCATCCCTGTGTGTGAGGGTATCTGTATCCCATCTACCTGAATGATGTCAGTTAGATCGCTATCGTGTTGACTCACCACGGTGGCTCATTTTGGCAACAACAGCAGCAAAGGGCAGGGAGGAAAGGCAAGTCCGGAGGCTTCACCCGTGCAGGGGGGCCCGGACCCACAGCCATAGTACTCGCAGGGGTAAAAGGGAGAAGCAGCCAAGCCCTGGGAACACGAAAGGGTTTCCTCAGCCCGAGCTTTGCTTTCCCACCCTGGAGGAGCCCTGTGCATCCCATGGGAACGCTGGGGCGAGCACCAGCTCCCTCCTGCTTGCGCTCGGCAGCCGCGGCGGCTCCTTTTACGGGCAAGGCTTGTGTCTGACGCTGCGGCAGCGCAGGCTCTGCTCCCGGGCGGGTGACATCGCATCAAACACATGTGCTGGGGAGATTAAACAGAGCCCGCAGGCGCCGGGAGCCGCTTTGAATGTCCCCCAGGCACTCCAGTAAGGGCACCGCGCTGGGGCTGCTGGGTGGGCACCGGTGGTACCCAGGGATGAGGCACGCTGCGAGCCGCAGCTCCTAACCCATCCCATCCTTCCTCCCGCCCTGCAGGCTCCCCTACGAGGTGGACCCCATCACGGTCTTCGCCTCCTTGTCGCCGGAGGGGCTGCTGATCATCGAGGCGCCCCAGATCCCCCCCTACCAGCAGCACGGCGAGGGCGGCTGCGGCAGCGAGATCCCCGTCGAGAGCCAGGAGGCCACGTGCGCCTGAGCAGCCTCCCGCATCCCTGCATCCCTCCTCCCCTCTGCCCTTTCCCCCCGGAACCCCGCTCCCTGGTCCCCTGTGGCGGTGGTGGCTCTGGACTGCCTCTGGCTCAAGGGTGATGGCAGCAGCCCCCGCCACCCCGGGGGGGACCAGCTGAGAGCCAGGGCGCACACAGGGTGCCAGGCCACCGTCCCCAAGGGCCTGTAGCAGTCTGAGGAGCCCGGTAGAGGCGTTGTGCCCATGGGGCCGAGCAGAACGCATTGCTGCTCATGGTTGGGTTTTGCTCCAAGTCGCCCGGATGGGATATTTATGACAGTAGCATAAAAAGGGCCCTTTTTGTTCCTCTAGAATTGATGTGGATTCCCTCGGTCCTGCGTCCTTCCCTCCTCTGTAGGTTTTGGGGTTTGTTTTTATAAACTATATCTCTGCAAAGGATGCGCATCCGGCAGCGGAGCTCGATGGCCCGGCCTCTGTCCCGAGGAGCGGCACCCGTCTGCGTGTTCTGAACGTTGGTTTGGGGTTCCCCGTGTTCTGGTCAGGTTTTTTGCTCTTTATTTTCTTTTTTTCTTTGTTTTTTTTCCAAAGAGGAATTGTGCTTTTTCTTGTCAGAGCTGAGGAATAAAACCCAGTCGATGTTCTTAGCCTCCGCGTGTCTCAGCTGAGCCTAAGGGGGGACAAGGGGGGGATGTCACCCCATGTCACCTCCTAGCCTGGCACTGGTGCTGCCCATGGGGGGAAGGAGAAGAGGGATGTGTGGGGATGTTTGCACTGAGGGCAGCTGAAGCGTTGGCTGTTCTGTGACCTGGGGATGCTGAGTCCTGGCTAGCACCGTGCTGGGGAGGCGCAGTGAGGACCATGGGCTCCTCCTTTCCTTACCCTCCTCAGAGGTTGCAAATGTGCTTCCTGCTTGGGGATGCTCAAACCTCATGAGCTTGGAAAGTTGGGTTTGCACCATCCCCGTTTCCACCCAGCTCCATGGGGAAGCACTTCCCAGCTAATGGTACTGGCAAATGGGTTCCATGAGGCTCTGGACACAACCTTAAAACCATTCCCAGGAGCATAGCACTGGGTAAGAAGTGTCAACCCACTGCAGCGCTCAGGTTGGCAAAGCAGAGGTGCCAATGGGCAGCAGGAGCTTTTCCATCAATCCCTGTGGCACCTGGGCTCGGTTTTCCATGTCACCAGTTAAAAATACAGCCTCACATGCCCGGGCCTGGCTCCTTCGGGATGCGGTTACCAACAACAGCCCATCACGTGGGGTAAACCCTGTTACGGGGCCACGGTGGTACCTCACTCACATTGGGTCACACAGGGGAGCCTGGGGGCTCTCCCCCTGGTTTTGATGGTTAATACTGTTTGTACTGAGGGGTGTGTGTATTCAACACCCCATGCACGTCAGTGGGAGCCAGCCCCGGGTTCTGCCAGGCAGGGCTGTGAGCACAGTGAGTTTATGAATAAAAGCTAATCCATGCAATGTGATCCCCACACGGGGAGGGGAAGCCAAAGGGCCATGAGTCACAGCCCCAGCTCTGTCCTCATGTCACTTAGCACCAGTGTGCCCCATGGGTGACTCCGCTCCTGCACAAACTGTCCCTCTTCTTCCCCTGCAAAGGATGGTTTCTTTTCATTGTTGGAAAAATCCCAGCCCCCATTTTGCCCCCATCCCCTCAATGCACTTCTCATGGGAAGCACATGTGTCTTCATGGACTGAGTGCATGGATGAGGCCCCACAGCATCCCTGGGATCCCAGCTGTGAGATGCTGATGGCACCCACTGTGTGCTCAGGGGACCAGCTGCAGGGGCTGGGTGGGGGGAAACTGGCTGCAGCTGAGCCCCTCTCCCACCACAGGGTATATGGGAAGGTCCCAGTCTCCATCCTGGGGCTGCTGCAGGCACGTGGTGGCTCTCTGCTTCCTCTCCTGCTGATCCTGCAGTCTGGGGGGAGGTTGCTGTGTTTTAATCACTTTCGGGTTTGTTTGGGTCTGCTGACTTCTTTAATAGCATCCTATAAAGGCTGCTGTAAGATGCATTAGCAATAATTTCTTAATGGCTGAGGTTGGCATTGGCAATTAGCACTGAGGACCTCTTACCCAGGCAGGCTGCGTGGACCTGTGCGGCCTCTCAAGCTGCTGCGTTGTGTGGAGTATCCTGTGCTAATGGAATAACTGTAAGTGGATATCTGTTTGCTTTTCTTCAAGCATGAGCTGGTTATTGAAGTGAAGGAGGCTTTAAAACAAACAATCCCTACCAGTGTTCCTGCAGATGGAGAAACAAGTTTGGGAACAGCGGAGCGTGGCTGGGTCTGCAGGGGATGGGGTGGGAACCGTGTGCTCCTGGGGTGCCGGGGTGCTGCAGAGCTGGGGTCAGTGGGGAGCGGGAGCTGTTTGCTCCTCCTCAGGCTGTGTGTGAGATCATGGCTTGGAGCCATTAGACCCTGTAACACAACCCTGTAATGGCCACTCCACCAATTACATTCCATGTCGTGGGTTTAGAGCAATTACAGTGCATCGGGTGGTGTCACAGCATATTATAGCTTAATATGGGCTCTAACAGGGAGATGCTGTGCGGGATGCAGCTGTGGTCGAGCTCCTATGGATGGGGGAAGCAAGCTTCCTGCAGGCTTCCTGGGCTGGCTGAGGGGGCTCAGGAGGGACAGAGGCCCCCAGGACTGGGGACCCCTCTCACATGTTGAAGGGGCAGGATTGTGCTTACCAGCAACTTGCCTTGCACAGAGCACCCCAGCTCCAGCAGCACCATTACACTGGCCCCATCCAAACCATTCTGGGAGGTCAGTGCTCCCTTAATTCTCCTTCTGGAGCAGCACTGGACTGATCAATATCCACATCATTCAAAGCCAAATGTTTTTTACTGCTAAAGGAGGCAGATGAGCCATCCTAATCAGGCCTTTCAAAGCTTGCTCTGGGAGCTCTGGTGACCAGAGAGGAGAAGGTGTTTGAAAGAGTTTAGCCTTTTCTTTCTAAGGAGAAAGCAAGCACACAATCCCATGGGAAAGGGGCTGGCATCATTAAGCAGTCCTAATGCTGGCTCTTTATCACTGCAGCATGTGCCTTGCTGCCCAGGCAGCAGCCAGGGCAAGGAGCATGAGGAGTGTGCCTGCTCTGGGGAGAGATGCTGGGGCTGGAGCTGATGCACCTCAAGACCATGTGCTTGGAAGCGCGGCTCTAAGCTCCAGCAAAGGTTTCCTGGCAGCTGGAAGGGAATATGGATGGCTCATGTGGCCTTTCTCTTTGGGAAAGATGTTTCCAACTGCTCTGCAGTGGTGATCCCTGCGCTGGGATGTGCTGATAGGGAGGGCTCCGAACAGGGAATGAGGCGCCAGGAGATAAGGGGGCTGCGTCATGGGAAACCATCCAGAGGAGGGGTTGAAGGACACAAGGAGATAAGGATAAGGTCACCAAGCCCTGGGATAGCTGCCGGTGGCTCAGCAGCAGAGGCTTGGTTGGCAGGAGGCTGACTGAACCCCTCAGCCCTGTACCGCTGCATCCACCACTGGCCCTCCGCAAAGGGATGCTCCATGGGGCTGAGTGCTTGGGTGCTGGTTTCTCCCTCGCAGGCTCCCAGCCTGTCCCAGAGGACTGAGTTTCCTAACATGGAAGCTGAAGCTGAATTGATTTATTCTGGCTGCAGCTCCAGAGCGGGGTAAAGGATGCACAGGAAGCTCCAGAGCTGTCCGGACACACCACGCATCTCCAGAGGCCCGTGTTCTTCTCCTGGAGGAGCCTGCTGGCCTTAGGAAGGGTCCCCATCTCCCAAGGAAGGAGCTGGCTCATGGGCAAGAGCTGGCACAGCAGCTCCCAAAGCTGTGTCCAGCCCTGCTGTGGGTAAGCATCACTCCTGAACCTGTGTGTGCCCACGGTCAGGATGTGCTTACTGGCTCTGCCTGCAGGGATGCACTTGATGCCTCTCACACGCTCCCAGCAGGCTGATGGATGATGCTGCAGGGTCCTCGAGTGGCCATAGACCCTTTCCTTGGCTGATGGGGATGGTTTTGCTTTCTCTCTGCGCAGCTCTGAGCAAGAGCTCAGCCTGTTTTCCTCCAGCATCCTCTTCCCTGGTCCCCCTGTGCCGCAGTTCTCCCCTCGGAGCCTCCAGGCTTGGCAGCTGGTTCTTATTGCTGCAGATCCACTCTGGGTTTGCACAGGGGGGTTAATACAACACTTGAGGGTGTTTTTCCTTCCCAGAGCGTTCCCTTGGTCCCCGAGGGTTTCCTGCAGTTTCTCACACAAACCCAGGCCCTTTTGGTCCAAGACGGTCCCTTTTCCCCCAGAGAGCATCCTGTAGCCATCCAGCTGTTTCCCTGCTAAAGTCGAGGTCATTTGGGGTTTTTTGTGTTTCTCTTTAGGAGTTTCTCCTCTGTTTGGAGGCTTGGCTTTGTTGTGGGTTTGGTCTCTACTTGTAAAGCATCATCTGCTTTATTTTTGGATATCCCCAAAGAGAAGACTTTGCTGCATGACGGCTGCAGGGGTCAGAGAAGCAGAAACTCCCCTTTCCTCTAATGAAAGAACCCAGTGCCATAGCAATAACACACCCTGGCTGACCAGATGGCCTTTCTGCCCCGTTTAAATCAAAGGCCAGGAGATTCTGCAGGAGCTCCTGGCCATGAACCAGCACAGCCACCCCTGGGAACAGACCCAGGAGCTCCTGAAGCTTTGCCCATCCTAGATGAGAGACCTCTGTGGATGGAGCAGTGCCAATGGGGTGTTAGGGCATCGTGGTTTGGATGCTTCTGCCTGTATCTATCTTTGGGGCTCAAGCCTGGTGCCCCCCCCCACCAGCAGCACAGACCCTCCTGGTTGGGCTGTGTGTGTGACCCTGGTGTTAAGCACCACGAGCCCCTTCTGGAGCTGCCGCTGCCTCTGGGCACTGCAACATCTCAGAGCCACGAATTCCTCCCTCAAATAATGTGCTGTAGCCAGGGGAAGGGGGAAAGAGACTTTTCTCCTCTTTATTTCTTTTTGTCAGGCTTTAAACCCGGTGGCAAATGCTGCTGGTAATTAAGGGCTGTCTTGCCACTTGGGTGATGTGCGCAAGTGCAGCCTCCTGTTCCCAGCCAGATGCTCCCACAGCAAACCCACCCCGGAGGAGAGGCAAATCTTGTCTTAGTTCTCTTCTTTCTTACCACAACACAAAGCTTCCTATCTGAGGTGGCCTTGGAAACCTCTCCTTATTAAAAGACCTCCTTGAAAGGTATTATAGCAGCAGAGGAGGGTGGTGATGAAGCACAAAAAGCCTGCAGAAGAGCTCATTAAAACAACAAAAAAAATACAACTAATTAGAATAAATCAAGATAAATCATCTCCAGTGTGAAGGCAGAATGAGCTGTGAGTGAGTGTTTTAATAAGGCCAACGCTAATCCCAGGCTCCTCTTTAAAGTGATGGTGAGTCCTGCTGCAGCAATGACCCCACTGCTGGGCCCAGGGCAGAAACCAGGCCCAGACAAAGGCGAGGGGGAAGTGGAGTTAATGGGATTCTTAATTGTTTCCCAGCCTGAGCTGCCTGTCCCTAATTGCAGTGCATTGAGGGCAGCACAGCACAGTGGTTTGCAGAGGGGCAGACACAGGGCACGGCGCTTGGGTTTGCTCACTTTGGGGTGGGTTTCTTCCCTCTTTCGTTTGTGATG